GCCAACGTTGGCGTATAGTTGGCATGGTCATGGTCGGCAAGTGGTTAGCTACATGACGATGGGCCAACGTTGGCGTATGGTTGGTAGTTGCAAATGGTACTCAGTGAAGACAAATTTTAAAACTATATACATATATACATATTGGCTGAGAGAGAGCGCGCAAGATAGAGAGAGAGAGAGAGAGAGAGAGAGAGAGAGAGAAAGAGAGAGAGCACTAGAGACAGAGAGAGAGTGAGAGAGAGAGAACAGGAGAAGAATGAGCGGGGAGAGGTGGTTGAGGATGGATGGGAGGGAGAGAGGAAATTTGGAGAAGGGGAAGGAGGTCGAAAAGGGAAAGGAGGTATATATAGAGCGAGATCGAGAGGGAACATGACAGAGAGAAAGAGAACGCGCACACGAAAGAGAGAGAGAGAGAGTGTGTGTGCGCGCGTGTGTGTGTGTGTGTACGTGTGTATGTGTGTGTGACAGAGAGAAAGAGGTGTGCGTGTTTGTGTTGTGTGTGTGACAGAGAGAGAGAGAGAACCCGAGGGAGTGTGTATGTGTCAGAGAGAGAGAGAGAGAGGGGGGGTGTGTGTGCGCGCGCGTGTGTGTGTGAGAGAGAGAGAGAGAGAGGGGGTGTGTGTGTGCGCGCGCGTGTGTGTGTGAGAGAGAGGCGGGACCGCCGGTACAGTAGGCACACGGTGGTCACGATGGCTAAGGGCATTCGGTTTCTTCTGATGGGAAAGGACTAATAGTTGAAGCTTGATGGAAGGAGATGCACCACATATGCCGCACAGACCATTACGCGTCAGAGAAGGAGAGGCACTGTTGTTACCACTTAGCTGGCCCCGAGGTGCAAGACATTTTCGGCCACTCTACAGACACGGGGGAGGTGAACGACTACACCCCATGTGTAACAGCACTGAACAGGTATTTCGTGCCGCCAGGTGAACGTGCCGTACGCACGAACAATTGTTTAACACTGCAGAGGCCCAATCAAGGCGAGACATTCCAGCAATTTTCTACTAGACTGGCAAACGTTTCAATTGACTGCAACTACGGAGCGGACACAGAAAACACCATTCGTGATGCCCTGCTGTGGCGATGTACATACCCGCGTACACATAAAGCGTAGGCTCCTGGAGGAAGGGGACGAACTGACTCTGGCCCGTGCACTGATTTTAGCTGCCCAGTGTGAGAAGATAGAGAGTCAGATGGAGCCCACACACAGTGCTGGTGCAACAGGGGGAGACAGTGTGAACAAAGTGAGCTTCGGGTGCAAGTCCAGTAAGTGCAGTAGTGCTAGTATGCCGTAACAGCAAGGAGTGCCGTAAACAAGCAAAGGGTAAGCGCTACAGATTGCGGTAGCTGAAGGACATTATGGCAGTGAGCACCCAAGTGCCCGGCCAAAGCGAACGAAGTGTAAACAAGTGCCAAAAAATGGACCCACTTTTCAAAAGTTTGCAAATCTAAGCATGTGAATGCCGTGCATACTGATGTGAGTGAGCAGAGTGAGAACACCGGCGACCAAACAAAGGCTAGGTACGCATTTAAAATAGGTGACACAAACACGGGCGAGTGGAAAGTACATGTGGGTGGCGTGCCATTGCACATGTTGGTAGACTCGAGCCAGTGTCAACGTCATAGACAAAGAAACGTGGACAGAGATTTGAAAAGTCCATGGCGTCATTTGTGTCTCTAGTACTGCCACACCGGCCAAATCACTTTTTGCATATGGGTGCAAAGAGCCATTGAAAAGATCGGAACATTTTAAATCTGAAGTTTCATAGTAGGAACAAAAGTGCGAAGGCGGTCTTTGTTGTGATCGACGCCAAAGGGTATTCCTCTTATTAGGTCTGAAAACGGCGACGAAGCTACAAGGTCCTGAAGATACATGGAGATATAAACTCGGTTGGTGTCTCAGATTATCACCAACACTCGGAGTTCGCTAATGCCGGATATGAAGGCGAAACTTTGAGACTGAGTTTAAGGATGCATTAAGGGTGTGGGCAAACATCAAAGGTCACCAGGTAGAGTTAAAAACTGACCTTCGTTAAACGGCTTGCTCAGCCTGTACGGCCGAAACACAATTCGGACTGAGGGAAAAGGTAGAGAAGAAAATAGAGGAACTCGTAGAGCGCGACATAATAGAGCCATCGAGGAACCGACAGAGTGGGTCAGTCCCCTATCTCTAATAGTGCCGAAAGCGAGACGACACGACATAAGAATTTGCGTGGACATGAGACGCGGTCAACCAGGCAGTACATGCGTGAACGTCCCGCCGATACCAACTACTGAAAGAGGCTGCTACAAGATATGAACAAAAGTAAGGTATTCCTCGAAGTTCGATCTGAAGTGGGGATATCATCAGTTAGAACTGATGCACGCTCTGACTCACGGAACCTTACGACATTGGTGACGCACGTAGGCCTAATACAGGTACCAAGCGTTTAATGTTCGGAATTAACGTGGCATCCGAAATATTCCAGAACGAGATCCGCAAGGTGGTGCAGGGAATCCCCCGGTGTCGCGAATAAGTCAGACGATATTATCGTGCACACAGAAACTGTAGAGGAACACTATGTAGTGTAGCAAGTTAGCTCGAGAGACTTAGAAAATGCAGGCCTGACCGGTGAAATTGGCAGAAATGCGAGTTTGTTCAAATCAGAGTTGGTATTTGATGGACAAACTGTCAGACAAGGGAGTAAATCCGACAACGGGAGAAAGTAAAAGCGGTCGCGGAAGCACGAGAAACCGCGAACAATAAGCGAACTAAGAAGCTTTCTCGGTCCGTGAACCAACAGCGGCCAGGTATATATACCTAACTTCGCGCGACAGCTGCCGAACCACTGCGTAGACTGACTCGAATGGCGAACCATTTGTGTTTGGCGAGGAACAGATGAACAGTCATTCCAAGCTCTGAAAACACACTGAGGCAATGCCGAGACTCCTGGCGTACTTCGAACGTACATGCAAAGACAATTGTCATTGCATACGGCAAGCCGTAGTCTGAGTGGCAAGTGGAGAGACGCTATTCAACAGACAGAGCGAGAAGCTCTGGCCCTTGTAATGGGCATGCGGAAATTCCATTCATATGTGTATGGTTGAAATTCGACTTGGTGACGGACCACAAGCCGTTAGAGGTAATCTACTCGCCAAAGTCAAACCAATGTGCTCGGATCGAGAGATGGGTCTCCGTCTACAAACCGTATGAGTTCCGAGTTGTACACGTGGCCGAGAACTAAGATGATAGCGGACCCGCTTTCGCGTCTGTTGAAAACAGATTGAGGCACCCCGACGCAAACCTGTGGAAAGAGCGGAAGAATATGTAACGATTCGTCGCAACTGAAGCAACTCCAGGGCCATGACCACACGAGAAGTCGAGGAGTGCTCAACACCAAGACATCGACTGACACACGTTCGAAAATGCATCGAGACGGGCGAGTGGGAACCCGCACTGTGCCAAATATTTACCTGTGGTGTGAGAACTGTGCACTCATTGGTCAAATCGTGATGCGAGGGACCAAAATGGTAATCCCGGTAGAGTTGCGTTCAAAAGTTACTGCCATTGCTCAGGAAGGTCATGTGGGGATGTCCGGCACAAAAACTCCGGCTCCGCACAAAAGTGTGGTGGCCAGGTCTCGACAAGGATGTAGAGAAATTTGTCCGAGCCTGCAGCGGATGTCAGCTAGTAGCTAGACCGACACCACCGGAACCAGTATTGCCAACCGAACTTGCACCCGGAGAAGTGGCAAGACTTAGCCATCCGACACTACTAGGACGAGGCGCCGACAGAGAATATGTATTTGTCGTCGTAGATTACTACTCCAGATACTATGAAGCGGAGATCACGACATCAGTGACCGCGAAGCGCATGATCGAGCTGTTAAGTAAGATGTTTGCAAGTCACGGACTACCGTTCAGTATCACCAGTCGCCAATGGACCACAGTTTAGAGCAAAGGAGACATTCGGTGAATTCTTGTCAGAGAACAACATAATCCATCGAAAGGTCACGCCATTGTGGCACAGGCCGAATGTGAAGTGGAACGCCAAAACCGCTCCATGGTTGAAAAGCATGAAGATCGCCACAGGCTGAGGACAAAAACTGGCGAACGGAGTTAGTGACATACCTCCGATCTTATCGCACGACTCCGCCACAGCGTTACTGGAAAACCGCCAGGCGACACTTGTTTTTCGGCAGAGCAATTCGGTCGAAACTTCCAGAACTCTCCGTCAATTCGTGCCGAACGACGGGGAAATGAAGGGACAGCAGACTGGGAGAAGAAGATTGGAGGAAAATCTACGCCGACGCAGCAAGGAAACGCTAGGGAGAGCGACATAGCACCCGGGTTGACACCGTGTTGGTCCGACAGAAGAAAGTCGATAAACTTACAACAGACTTCAAAACACTAACCATACCTAAGTCAGTATTTTCACACACGTACAACCATACCTACAGTCAGTATTTACACACACAACCATACCTACAGTCAGTATTTTCACACACGTACAACCATACCTACAGTCAGTATTTACACACACAACCATATACCTATACAGTCAGCATTTACACACACGTATTTACACACACAACCATACCTACTATCAGTATTTATACACACAACCATACCTATAATCAGTATTTACACACACAACCATACCTACGATCAGTATTTATACACACAACCATACCTACAGTCAGTATTTACACACACAACCATACCTACGATCAGTATTTACACACACGACCGTACCTACAGTCAGTACACACACAATTCCATACCTACAGTCAGTATATTTACACACACAACCATACCTACAGGTTACAGTCAGTATTTACACACACGACCATACCTACAGTCAGTATTTATATGCACAACCATACCTACACTGGCTACTGTCAGTATTTACACACACAATCATACCTACAGTCAGTATTTATACACACAACCATATCTATGGTCAGTATTTACACACACGACCATATGTTCCGCGAGTGCATGTGCACATTTGGCCATACCTGTGCTGGGACACATCTGTCCTGTCAGAAGATTAATGAGAGTGGTCTTGCCAGCTCCATTGTGTCCAAGTAGGGCTGTGATCTGACCTTCATAGAGGTCGAGGGAGAGACCATCGACTGCCCTCGTCACCTCCTTGTTTTGAGCTGCATCGGGACGTATGGCAGTGCATCAGGACCGTGTAAGAAATTACGAGTAAACCGTAGAGGTAGACAATTTCACAAATGCACGAACCTTTCTTTAGGTGCCCGATTAGGTGAATTTCACAACACGGAACAACCATGTTGTAATTAGAATGACTAAATTTTTACATTCGCCCTCTTTCGGGAATCACTACAACTAATGTATATATTTTCACACAGTGCCCAGAGTGTTTAAGCATGTTTTAACATTGCGGCACAACATGCTAACAATGACAACTGCAATGTGCTACAGCAAGACGATATAATTACCAGAAATGCCATCGAAATTTGTGAGAACAGGTCCAGTGGTATATTAACCCTTGGTGCACCTGATTATTCATCTAAGAGTGTCATTTTGCCAACAACGTGAGCTCACCACAATCAAGACTTGCATCATGAACCCAGCTAATATAACCTAATAATATAAGCTAATAATGTAATACCCTAACACACTACATAATATAGTACTAGTAGCATAACTTAGTGCATGACTAACGAGACCGATATCAGCCAAACAGATTTATCGAACCTTTGAAACTCTTGCTGACATTCACGATCCGGATTGCCGCCTTATCTTTTAGTTCATCAGAGATTGGCTCGATGTCTCTGTCAAAGTTGGCCGCGTCGGTGTAGTCCACGGCGGGGACATCTCTCAGCAGGCTGCTAGTCTCTCCTGGCCTCACGGATGGGAACCAGTACGATCGCTTCAGGCAGAACAATGGATGCAGCCTCTGTCCATACTCGCCTAGAGAAAAAAGAGTGCAGTTTTTTTTCGAGGGCTCTTTTTTCTAAGTGGCCAAAATTCTCGGGGGCTACTTTTGACATTTCGATGGCTATACTTTTTAATCGTAAAATTTATGTAATTATTGCCTTCCCAATTTGCCTTATGGTTCTCGAGTTTCCACTGGAACAGTCGGAAATTTTACTCTCATAATACGCATGATAAAATTACCCTCGATCATCATCAATATTTCAGGGGCGATTTCGAACCTAATGAGGGCAAATTCGCCCGCCGTCCCAGTGCATTTTATTCGCTGGTCCATGCCAACAAGAAATGGGGAAGAAATGTTTGTATCTATTGTAGTATTCTGCTATCACACAATGATTGCTCTAATTGTTATGTTCAAACAGTTGCATTGTGGGAAGGTTCTCTTGGAATAAATGGCTGACCAGCGAGGTTAACAAACATAATCTGTCGTGTACATTATTGGCCTAAGTGGTTAAATCCATAATCATCAGCAGTTATTACATTGGCGACGAGGTGAACGACGCACCCACGCTCGTTTCGAAACTATGGGAGACGAATTCGGTGGTAAGAGAGGCATTCAGCCGTTTGAATGCTACACGCGGACCCCGGCTACAGTAGGCACACCGGCTGGTGCACGATGCTGAGGGCATTGATTGTCTTGCTGATGGGAAAGGACCTAATAGTTGAAGACTTGATGGAAGGAATGCAGCAGCATATCCGCGCACCGAGACCATTACGCTCAGAGAAGGAGAGCACCTTGCGTTGTTACACTTAACTGGCCCACTGAGGTGCAACGACATTTTCGCCACTCTTACACGCAGAAGGGGGGAGGTGAAGCGACTATCACCCCCATGTGTAACAGCACATGAACAGGTATTTCCGTGCCGCAGGTGAACGTGCCGTAACGCACGACAAATTGTTTAACACTGGCAGAGCCAATCAAGGGCGAGACATTCCAGCCAATTTTCTACTAGACCTGCGCAAACTTCAATGACTGCTAACTGACGGGAGCGCGACACAGAAAACCACATATCGTGATGGCCCTGCTTGTGGCGATGTAACATCACCGTACACTAAGAGCGTAGGCTCCTGAAGAGGAAGGGGAAGAACTGACTCTGGCCGTGCACCTGATCTTTCGCCTGCCCAGTGTGAGAAGAATAGAGAGGGGTAGATGGGCGCCCAACACCACAGTGGCTGGTGCAACAGGGGAGAGACAGTGTGAACACAAGTGAGCTTCGGGTGCGCAAGTCAGGTAAGTGCAGTAGTGGCTAGTGCCGTAACAGCAAGGGAGTGCCCGTAAACAAGCAACAGGTAACGCGCTACAGATGCGGTACTGAAGGAGACATTCATGGCAGTGACCCCAGTGCGGCCCGGCGCAAACGGCAAGAAGTGACAAGTTGCCAAAAAATGGACCACTTTCTTCAAAGTTTGCAAATCTAAGCAGTGTGAATGCCGTGCATACTGATGGGAGTGCAGCAAGAGTGAGAACACCGGCGACCAAACAAAGGCTAGGTACCATTTAAAATACGGTGACAATCAAACACGGGGCGAGTGAAAGTACAATGTGGCGTGGCGTGCCATTGCACATGTTGGTGAAGACTGTCGGGAGCCAGTGTCAACCGGTCAATAGACAAGGAGAAACGTGGACAGATTTGAAAAGTCATGGCGTCATATTGTGTTCTGCCAGTACTGGCGCACACCCGCCGAAATCACTTTTGCAATATGGGTGCACAGAGCCATTGAAACGATCGAACATTTAAATCTGAAGTTTCAATAGGAGACAGCAAAAAGTGACGAAGAGCGGTCTTTGTTGTGATCGACGCCAAGGGTATTCCTTATTAGGTCTAAACAGGCGCACGAGCTAGCAGGTCCTGAAGATACATGGAAGATATATAACCTCGTTGGTGTCTCAGATATCACCACACTCGGAGTTCGCTAACTCCGCGGCGATTGAAGGCGAAACAAACTTTGAAGAACGGAAGTTTAATGGGATGCATTAACGAGGGTGTGGGCAAACTCTAAGTCACCAGGTAGAGTTAAACACTGATCCTTCGGTTAAACCGGTTGCTCAGCGCTGTACGCCGAACACACATTGGACTGAGGAAAAGGTAGAGAAGAAAAATAGAGGCACGTGTAGAGGACGGACATAATAGAGCCAGTGAGGAACGCGACAGAGTGGGTCACTCCTACGGTAATAGTGCCGCGAAAGCGAACGACGACATAAGAATTTGCGTGACATGAGACGCGTCAACCAGGCAGTAATGCGTGAACGCACCCGAATACCGCACTACTGAAAAGCTGGCTACAACGATATGAACAAAAGTAAGGGTATTCTCGAAGTTCGATCTGACGTGGGATATATCATCAGTTAGAACTGCACGCCTGACTCACGGAAGCCTTACGAACATTTTGGACGCAGCGTAGGTCCTATACAGGTACAAGCGTTTAATGTTCGGAATTAACGTGGCATCCGATAATATTCCAGAACGAAGATCCGCAAGGTGGTGCAGGGAATCCCCGGTGTCGGGCGAATAAAAGTCGCGCCCGATAATATTGCGTGCGACGCACAGAACTGTAGAGGAACACTATGATAGTGTAACCAAGTTACTCGAGAGACTTAGAAATGCGGCTGGCTGACGTGCATTGGCAGAAATGCGAGTTGTTTGCAAATCTAGAGTTGGTATTTGATGGACACAATAGCTGTCAGAAAGGGAGTAAATCCTGATCCCGGGAGAAAGGTAAAAGCGGTCGCGGAAGCACGAGAACAGGCGAATGCATAGGCGAACTAAGAAGGCTTTCTCGGTCTCGTGGAACTACAGCGCCAGGTATATACCTAACTTCGGCGACAGCTGCCGAAGCCACTGCGTAGACTGACTCGGAAGTAGGCGAAACGCATTTGTGGGTTTGGGCGAGGAACAGAGACAGTACATTCATAGCTCTGAACAGACACAAACATTGAGCAATGCCGAGACCTCTGGGCAGCTTCGACGTACATGCAAAGACAATTGTCATTGCATACGCAACGCGTAGTTCGAGTGCAGTGGAGAGACCTATTCAGCGAGACAGAGCGAGAAGCTGCTGCCAGCTTGTATGGAGTGCGAGAAATTCGATTCATACGTGTATGGTTGAAATTCGACGTTGGCTGACGACCCACAAGCCGTTAGAGGTAATCTACTCGCCAAAGTCAAAACGCGCATAGTGCTCGATCGAGAGATGGGTCCTCCGTCTACAACGCGTATGAGTTCGCAGTGTACACAGTGGCCGGAACTAAGATGATAGCGGAGCCCGCTTTCGCGGTCCTGTTGAAAACAGATGAGCACCCGACGCAAACAGGCTGTGAAAGAGGCCGGAAGAATATGTAAGATTCGTCGGCAATGAAGCAACTTCCCAGGCATGACCACCGAGAAGTGCGAGGAGGTAGCAGCCAAGAACAATCGAACTGACACACGTTCGAAATGCCATCGAGACGGGCGCAGTGGGAACGCCGCACTGTGCCAATATTTACCTGTGTGGTGAAGGAACTGTGCACCATTGGTCAAACATCGTGATGCGAGACCAGAAATGGTAATCCCGGTAGAGTTTGCGTGCCAAAGGTAACTGCCATTGCTCATGAAGGTCATGTGGGGATGTCGCGGCACAAAACTGCCGCTCCGCACAAAAGTGTGGTGGCCAGGTCTGGACAAGAGATGTAGAGAAATTTGTCGCGAGCCTGTCAAGCGAGTCAGCTAGTAGCTAGACGCGCACGCCGACGGACCAGTATTGCGCAACCGAACTGCACCGCGGGATAGTGCAAGACTTAGCGCCATCGACCTACTAGGACGCGGATGCCCGACAGGAGAATATTGTATTTTGTCGTTCGTAGATTACTACTTCCAAGATAGCTGATTGAAGCGGAGATCAGCGATATCAGTGACCGCGAAGCGCATGATCGAGGCTGGTTAAGTAAGATGTTTGCAAGTCACGGACTTACGCGTTCACGCTTCACACCAGCGACAACGGACCACCAGTTTAGAGGAGCACGAGACATTCGTGAATTCTTGTCGAGATGAACAACAAGATGCCTATCCGAAGGTCACGCCATGTTGGGGGCCAGCACAGGCCGAATGCCGTGAAGTGGAACGCCCAAACCGGCTCCATGTTGAAAAAGCATGAAGATCTGCGCACGGCGTGAAGGCAAAAACTGGCGAAACGGAGTTATGACGATACCTCGCGATCTTATTAGTCAGTCAAATATATGAAAATTATTGGCGTATCCTGGAACAAAATTGCAAGCAGTTAGGTTTTTATTGTTGGAAGTGTTGATTTAGACGCCTACCTAAACTTCAATATGCAAAATCGCCCAAAATCGACCAACAGGGAAACTGGCCTAATGTAGCATAAATCCAACAATGGCCGCCATTTTTCAAGTTTGAGGCTAGTTTGTCCTTAGATAGTTACAGGAGCTAAGAGCCAAAAAATCCAAGATGAATGTTGTGGCAAGCTTTTTTGACAAAAACAGCATGAAAATTGCGATATGACGGTAAGTTTAGATTGTACATTCAGAGGAGATCGGTACCGCATCTGCCATCCGGCCATGGTATCTGGGCGCCATCTGAATTTAAAAATGGCCACCATTCGAAAACATCCGACATTATTACTTTATATTTCAGCCTAATATTCAATCATAGCAGCATGATCTTGGTGTTCCTAAACCAACATTATCGGGTGCAAGAAAACCCATTACAATCAAAACCCTTATCGGTCGGTGGGCGGCCATCTTAGATATTCAAAATGGCCGGCCATTCAAATCTATTATCTTTCATATTTCAGACCTAATATTCAACATAGAAACAAAGATCTTGGTGTCTAAACCAACCATTATCGGGATCAAAGACAACCCATTGCAATCCGAAATCAATTATCGTCGGTGCGCCATTCTTGGATTTCAAAAATTGGCCGCCATCCCAAATCTATTTATCTTCTCATATTTCAGCTAAATATTCAACCTAAAAACATTA